CTAATATTAATATATAAAAATAATATTATATATTAATTATATAACTTATATTATATAAATATACAATATCTATATTAGTATATTACTACTATAGTATATTAATATATTATTATTATTATTTTATTATATATTATAATTTATAAAATTTAATGTTTTAAAATATAATAAATTTTTTATATATAATTATTTTATATTATTTTATATTTCAAACAATAACGATTCGAACACGAACGAACGCATCACTGTTCGTGTTTGGTTCGTTTAACTAACCGAACGAAAAAAATTTGTTCGTGTTTGTCTCGTTTACTTATCAAACGAATCGAACACGAACTCATTGACGAACCGAACACGAACTGTTCGCGAACAATGAGCTTTTTTGACAGCCCTACTTGCAAATAGAGAAAAGCGGGGAAATAAAGGGAGAATTGGTGTGGGAAGCTTTAGATTTTATTTAATCTTTGTTACAAATATATGTGGATGTAGTTTCAGTTAATAAGGATATATTCGAACATATAAGATTTATTAGCTCATCGCCTATTTAAAAATTACGGTTAAAATTCAATGTTATAAGAAATATTTTATTCTGAGTAAAATAAGATTTAATAAATATTTATAATTTTATGCAGAAAAGTGAATGAAGATATTCAACAACAACTTTTTTAAGAAAATTAAACTTAGGGTTTGTTTGGGGTAGTTGCAAATTATTAATAATCTGGTGATAAGTAGTTGATTTAGATAAGCTGGCTGACTGTTTGATTTGTGCATTTGGAAGACAACCGATTTGTAGTTGTTTCTGGATAAATGATTATTTTATTTTTGTGCACTATTGTTGTTTGCAATTTTTGGAGCCCCCCCTACTAGTGGTTGGATGAAGGTTAACACTGATGGCAGTTTCTCAAAAGATTATGCTGGTGTTGGGGGAATCTTTAGGAACTCTCATGGCACTTCCATCTTGTATTACACTGTTCCTATAGTGGCATTTGATGCTTTGGAGGCAAAATTTAGAGCTATCTACTGAGCTATTAGAATTGTCCACCACTGTCATTTGGGCCCTTTGCTTGTAGAAACTGATTCTACTGTTTGTATTAATATATTGCTCCATGATGAAGCTCCTCTTTGGAATCTACTACAGTGGAAAAGCCTGTTGAAAGCCCTTTTACACAACTGCAGGGTGGAATTTAAATACATACATAGAGGGCAACTGTCCAGCACACTGGCTAGCCTCCTTGGGAAGGAACACTGAGCAGATATATGTTGGGAATGCACTTACATCACACTTAACTTTCCTTCTTAATGGAGATAATATGGCTCTCCCTTACTTTAAAACCTTGTAACAATTTTGTAGTATTATATATATATATATATGGGATAGTTTTAAAATATATATATATTTTACTTACAATACTTGTACCAATTCCTTTTAGTGCTAATGAATTTGCTACTGGGTGCTTTTCTGTAAGTACACCCTAGTAGCCTTTTGCAATATATATATATATATATCAAATGCTTTAATGTTCAGCAAGTCTGGAACCTCTTGTTACCTGCATGGGTATCTTTCTTTTTATATATATATATATATATATATATATATATATATATATATACTTGATAGTTTATAAGCAAAAACATGTAAATGATAAATACTCCAGCAAAACTCTTAAAATGTGGATTATTTAAGACCAAAATGGGAGCTTTCTATTAATCATAATAATTTTGGATAGATGAAGAACAAAAATTCATATTTTTTGCTCAATAGAACCTTGCTTACCGATAAGAGTTGATATTAATGAAAAATAACCTCAAATAACAGGAGTGAGCGCACCTCTAGAGATGTGAGGCAACTGTAGCTTAGATCAAGTCTTTCCAAGTTCTAGAAATTGCTCAAATGGAAAACCTTCATAGGTCAAGCAAAACTAAACGACAATCAATAAGCAACAGAAAAAAAACATAAAAATTGTGCTAACCAATTGTGAGGCCTTCCAAGGAGGGAAAAATAGAGAAATTGCATCGAAGAGAGCTCGATAAGATAGTTGAAGCAATGTTACAAAGCTCACTTCGTAATTTTTCCTCTCCTGTAAGGTCTGCTCCATGCTAAGGTGAGTCATGGCTGAAAAAATCGATGTCCTATGTTGCGCATGACTCGACCTGCAATTGACTAATTTAAAGCTAGTTCCAGCTTGTGTGGTAGTGCTGAGTAGATTCTAGCCTCTTATTTCAAGATTATCCATTGTGCCCTCTCTATAGGACCTGGAAGGGACCCTTAGTTCCAATAATAGACCAAATTGGTAAAGGATCTAGTCTGTCACTCTAGAAACACCAATTCTACACCCATCAAAATTTATCTCGCTATCTATTTGCACTCCCGCTGGATTCCAATTCTACACCCATCAAAATTTATCTCGCTATCTGTTTGCACTCCCGCTGGATTTGCCACACCAAAAATAGTGCCGACAACATCTCATTCCTCCAAGGTTCAGTTTTGTACTCATTATTTGGGGAAGTTATAGCCCTCCCAGGTCATTATTTTTTGCAACTGGTTTTCACATCACAAATGACCCGTTTACAAAGTAGATGAAGAACTGGTTAGATGAAGAACTGTTTACAAAGTAGATGAAGAACTGGTGAAAATACCATCACAAATTGTTTGAATAAAAGAAATCTTTAAAACATTTTAATCTCACACATGATTACTTCCTATTGCAAGAAGAAATAAATGAAAATTACTCAGAAATCATTGGGATAACAAAACAAAACATTATATATAAAAACCTAGTTTGCATGACAAATCTTAAATAAAAGTACAAATACTTATCTCAATTTTTTCCCCAAGCAATCCTCTAAAGTTTTCTGACAAAACTTGACTCCATAAGACTCTATAATCACTAAACTCCCATTATAGTGGCCGTCCACCCCTATTTTGGCCTAAACTACTAAAAAAAAAACAAAATTTTTATCTTTTTTCCTCCCTTGAATGTGTAGAAATGTCTTCTATATATAGAGCTCTGAAAATAACCAAAGGTCACTTAAGACACCTTTTCAAAATTCTTCCAAATTCATTGAATCTTAGGCAAACTATTTCTGGTGCTTAGGCGCCCATCCGTCATGCCTAGGCACCGACCTTCTAGAACATCCCGACGCCTAAGCGCCCGGTCACATTTTATGTCGCGCCCGGTCACCTTTTATGTCTTTGGCTTCAATTGACCCATTTTTGCTCCATTTTTGCTCATTTGTCTCTTAAACTTCATTTCTTGCACCTGAAGTGATAAACACACAAAATACATTTCATTAAAACACAATATCATTAAAAATAAGCATGAAATACATAAATAAAAATAGTTAATTTTATGGCATGTCAATTTCCCCAAACATATATGTTACTTGTTACACTTGT